CAATGTTTTTACTCTAACTGGGTGATAATTTTCTGGCTTGTCGGGCAGTTACTTATTGTCGGAAGATAGGCGTGATTTGTTCAAAGACTTGGGAGTATTGCGCACTACTCACGTAGCATACACATAAGAAATTACACGAGATCAGCTCTGGTATGGTTGCTTTCAATAAAAGTTGCAGCGGTAAACATATCCGCAAACTAAAATCGCCGATACCAGTGACGGTCAGATCAATCTCACTGAAAACACAACCAGCTGAAGGTGCTCAATAGTGGTGTAGCTTTCGCATCAGATTATGGTTCAGTCACCCTGTGACAATCCTCCTCTATCAACTGGCAAACTAAAGCATTAAGCATTACAAAACGTCTGTTCATAATTTACATGTCCACTCCTACCCAATCATCTCTGAATCTTCCCTCGATTAGCATCAGAATCGCTATTTTTAAAGTCATGGAAGGCAGTATTGTCAAATCCCGCTGTATTCAGAATGACTTTAAAGTGAGCATTCAAGTAACCAAAACACATGACAGGAACTTCCAGTGTCTCATCGAAAAGCATTTTTATCTCTTAAGACGTACGCCTATGTTGTCAGATATATTCATACAGCTTAATGTTGACCAGCAAACAGTTTATACATCATTAAACTGCTTAAGTAAAGTTCAGTTAACTAGTTTCATAAACAGATATAGTTGATTAGCTATGGTTATGGCAAATTAACTCCGCATGTAGACCCTTCGGGGCTACTGCCGGTCCCAACCCCGGATAAAGGAGAAGGGATGGGCATGGGGTTGGCGACCCCATCCCAACTAAAACTAACTCGCCAGAAAAGGTACATGGAACGTTCTTACATTGTGGGAGACTGGAAGACTATTTCAAGTTGCGGCAGAAATGAAAAGATACAAGTCCGAGGTGCTCGGCATCAGTGAAACGCATTGGACACAGGTAGGACAGCTGAGACTAGCTTCAGGAGAACTGCTGTTATACTCTGGTCATGAAGAGGAAAATGCTTCACATACACAAGGAGTTGCATTGATGCTGTTCAAACATGCACAAAAGGCACTGATGGGGTAGGAATCCAGTGGACCCAGGATCATTTGAGAATCTTTTAAAACAAAGAAAGGGGACATTATGATGAACGTCATCAAAAGCTATGCACCTACCAATGATTAAAATGACGACGTTAAAGATAAATTCGACGAAAGGCTGCAGTCAGTCGTTGACAGATGCTCACCAAAGGTTTGACCATTCTGATGGGAGACCTGAATGCCAAGGTTGGAATGGACAACACTGGATATGAAGACATCATGTGACAACATGGACTGGGAGGAAGGAATGAAAACGGTGAGAGATTTGCAAACCTATGTGCCTTCAACAAACTGGTCGTCGGTGGCACAATAGTCCCGCACAAACGCATACACAAAGCCACATTGATTTCACCGGACCACACTACTCAAAACCAAATCGACCATATCTGTATCTTGGGGCAGAGTTTTGGAGGTTTGCATTTTTACACATTTACACATAGGCGAACGCCTTACTATCGCCTACAATGCCGAAGGTCCAGGGTTCGAATCCTGCGGGTCGCAGGAGTCGTGGATGCGCACTACTGATGAGTCCCATACCAGGACGAAACGGCCGTCCAGTGCTTCCAGGTTTCTAATGATGAACTAACAATGATTGATTGATGATTTCAAAAGCATATCTGTATCAACAAAACGTTCAGAAGGACTATGGAGGATGTGAGAACCATGAGAGGAGCTGATAGAGCTTCAGATCACCACTTGCTGGTCACTAAAATGAAACTGAAACTAAAGAAGCACTGGACAACGGGGCAGACAAAATCACACAAGTTTAGTATGGCCTTTCTTCGGGATACCGTGAAACTCAACGAATTCAAGATAGCCCTCAGCAATAGGTTCTAGGCCTTTCAGGATCTACTCGATGGAGAGGAAGCAACATTGGAGAACAATTGGAAAGGGATAAAGGAGGCAATCACTTCAACATGTCACGAAGTTCTGGGTCACAAGAAGTACCATCACAAGGAATGGATCTCTGTTGATACTCTTGCAAAAATTGAAGAAAGGAGGAACAAGAAGGCAGCATTCATTGTCAGCCGAACAAGAGCAGAGAAAGTTAAGGCACAAGTAAACAAGGAAGTGAAGAAGAGCATCAAAGCTGACAAACGAAAATATATGGAAGATCTAGCAATGACGGCGGAAAAGGCTGCAAGAGAAGGAAACTTGGGACAATTGTACGAAACAACAAAGAAGCTGGCCGGGAACTATCGTAAACCGGAACGACCAGTGAAAAGTAAGGAAGGCAAAGTAATCAGCAACACTGAACAACAGCGAAATAGGTGGGTAGAGCACTTTAAGGAACTCTTGAATCGACCAGCTCCACTGAACCCACCCAACATCGAAGCAGCATCCACGGACTTCCCAATTAATATTGGCGCACCTACGATTGAGGAGATCAGTATGGCCATCAGACAAATCAGAAGCGGCAAAGCAGCAGGATCAGACAACATTCCAGCAGAGGCAATGAAAGCAGATGTGGAAGCAACTGCGAAAATATTTCACATTCTCTTCAAGAAGATTTGGGATGAGGAACAAGTACCATCAGATTGGAAAGAAGTATACCTGATCAAAATACCAAAGAGAGGCTATCTCAGCATGTGTGAGAACTACACAGGCATCACTCTTCTTTCGATACCAGACGAAGTCTTCAACAGGTTATTGTTGAACAGAATGAAGGACTTCGTAGACGCCAAACTCCGAGATCAACAGGCCGGATTTCGTAAGGATCGATCGAGTACTGACCAAATTGCTACATTACGGATCATTGTGAAACAATCAATTGGATGGAACTCACCACTCTACATCAACTTCATCGACTACGAGAAAGCATTCGATAGCGTGGATAGGAAAACACTGTGGAGGCATCTTTGACTCTACGGTGTGCCTGAGAAAATAGTCAACATCATATGGAATTCTTATGATGGATTCAACTGCAAAATCGTGCACGGAGGTCGGCTGACAGACTCTTTTGAGGTGAGGACCAGTGTCAGGCAAGGTTGCTTACTCTCACCCTTTCTCTTTCTCCTGGTCATCGACTGGATTATGAAAACGTCAATATCTGGAGGGAAGCACGGTATTCAGTGGACAGCTAGGATGCAGCCGGACGATATGGACCGGGCTCTTCTATCGCACACGCAACAACAAATGCGAAAGAAGACGACCAGTGTAGCAACAGCCTCTGCAGCAGTAGATCTCAAGATACAAAAAGGAAAAAGCGAAATTCTCCGATACAACACAACATGCACCAACCAAATCACTCTTCATGGAGATACCTTGGAGGACGTTAGCACCTTTGCATATCTGGGTAGCATCATCGATAGTCAAGGTGGATCGGATGCAGATGTGAGGTCGCGGATTGGCAAAGCAAGAGCTGCATTTCTACAGTTGAAAAATATCTGGAACTCCAAACAACCTTCAGTCAACACCAAAATCAGGATTTTCAATACAAATGTGAAGACAGCTCTACTGTATGGAGCGGAAACATGGAGAACTACCAAAGCCATCATCCAGAAGATACAAGTGTTTATTAACAGTTGTCTACACAAAATACTTCGTATTCGTTGGACAGACACGATCAGCAACAACGAACTGTGGGAGAGAACAAACCAGATTCCAGTGGAGGAGGAAATGAGGAAGAAGCGGTGGAAGTGGATAGGACACACACTACGAAAAACACCGAACTGCATCACGAGACAAGCCCTCACATGGAACCCTCAAGGCGAAAGGAAAAGAGGAAGGCCAAGGAACACATTACGCCGAGAAATAGAGAAAGATATGAGAGGAATGAACAAACATTGGACAGAACTAGAGAGGGAAGCCCAGAACAGAGTTGGTTGGCGAAAACTGGTGAGAGGCCTATGCTCGATTGAGGGTAACAGGCGTAAGTAAGTAAGTATGGCAAGTTATTATCACCTGCTAATGAACATCAGCATCATGGAAATGCTCCTTTGTGTGTTTTTTGAAACCCCAGTTGTCTACTAATGGACATCAACGTCAGCGGAAACGCACATCTGTACCTACTGGTAACTTCACCGGCACAAAAGCAATATAACAGGTAAACCATCAAGATGCTTGGCCAAACTCCTTTTTTACTATGACCTCTTGGGCGATCAGAGTCACTATCGGATGCATACCAGCTATTTATTTCGGGTAACTCCTTACCTCTGTAGACGTAGTAGAAGGAACTGAAAGATGCCTTGTGATTAATTTCCGACAATAAAAAATTCAGCAGTAAAATGCCGGCTGTAATTGTTGGTACTACAATTATTGCTTCTCATCAACATGATGTGACACAGGCCGTTCCTTCTGGTATCATTCAGGCGACAAACCTTCATAAAGAGAGTCCAGTGAGATATCTTCAACACAGATATTTAGTATTGGCATATATTATTGATAATGATGTACTTGTCTGACATCACAGTGAGCAAAAGTCCTTATGTTAGTTGGCTCGTAGGTTTAGAGGATTTAACATGGACATCAAAACAATAAGAGTAATCAAAAATGTCTTCTCAGCTTCGCGGCTCTAAAATATCTGAATTCTTTCGCTTCCTCTGACAGCAACCTACGGCCTCTATAAACAAATAACCTATTTATTGAACATCGACGTTCCTCTTGAGTCATCAACGGATGGAACTCGTGACCTGAAAATATGTTGGCGCAATCAAGGTGAAATCGGATAAAATGAGAAACCGATATTGTCAGGAAAAACACAGACCACCCAGCCTACAAGCCCTTCAAATTAGAACTTAAACCGCTGAAACTTGGTGGGAAAACAACCATTTAAACTTGTCAACCTTCCAAAATTAATGATGTAAATATCTATGTTAACCATCACTCTTACCGTGCGTGGTGGCTTTAGACGAGTACAAAGATCGGATAGAATAACCAGTTTCCAACCCGTGACCTTGAAAGGCCAATCAGGACCGTATTTCTTCAGCGCGCAATTTGTTATCGGCATGCCCACACGCTGTTTTCCCCGATGTTACAGATTTGCCCATATGAAACCGAAACCGTCCTCAATTTGTCCTTATAAAATATTGCAATGAATGAAAGACTACAAAATGGTTTGCACATAGTGGATAATGAATGGCCAGCCTTGAATGAGCTAGACAAAAACTCAGGAAATGCTAAACGAGTATGCTTTCGTATTTCTTATATTCTTAAATAGTTTATCACTAGACTCAAATCAAAACAAAAGTGGGAGGATTTGCCTGTTCAACTCACTTTTTCTCAGATTCAAGGCTCTTTAGTGTCAGAAAACAACCGTACGGAAAACGGGTATGGCAATGATGAGAATTTGAAGGAAGTAGAAACATATAAAGTTCCTGATTGCACCGAACCATTAACAAAATCAGAGTCAGGTACCTTCCAAAAGCCTCAAAAAAACTACCCGAACTCCCAATGGTGTTTATACGTCAACCCGAATTTCGCTGGAGTCGAGCTATGCTGCTTAGTTCCTCGACCCGGATTCAGTAAGTATATGCTTGCTGTATTTTACTTCAGACCCTCGTGTATTGTCACACTACCGACACCACGTTTCACGGAGTCAACAATGTGATTATGGTACTAATGAATGTATGGCTTGCGTAAGCGAAAGGCTTTCAAGGATCAGGAATCAGATAGAATACTACTTCGGCGACAGAAATATCACCCGAGACCGATACCTACAAGAAAAAATGACCACTGACGGATATGTACCTTTAGAAGTTATATTGAACTTTCCTAGAATGAAGCAGTTAGATGCTTCGTCCAATCTTATTATTCATGTAATGTCAAGTTTATTCAATTATTTCAATTTAGGCTTGCCGTAACAGCAGTGTTGTGGAAATCGATTCTGAAAAAGGACTTATCAGGCGTCGGTTAGTCAGTCCTGAATGTCATACAGTGTCAGATGGTAAGTGGGGTATTATCCAAGGATATTAAAAACATTTTAGAACCCACAGTTTCGCACACTCAAAATGCACCTATTTCAACCTCGGTCAACACAATGAGTTCCCCGTCATCTACATATGATAACCCCCCTTCAGATACTGCAAATATAGAAGTAACAAACCCGGCATCCACCGTCTCAGGTGAAATGAACGATGTTAATTGGATGAAAGTAGAACGTCGTCAACGAAATCGTCTGAAGACCCTATCTTTATCCAATTCAAACATTCCGGCTACGACGGTAAGAATACAAGTTTTCTAAAGCATGTAAATTATTCTATATTGGAGCCTTGCGCCCCCCATACGCGTATAAGTCACTTACGGTTTCTGTTTAGTTTCACCGGTCCTAAATTTAAATGCAAGCCAGCCATATCATTTTCTGGGCATAGTAGAATAGTTAGTTAAGTAATGACTCGGAAAAATATTTGTATTGCTTCTTGCCAAAAATTAGTGGTTTGTCCATTTTAAAGCGGATAGAATTCCCCGGTCCAGTTTCTACGTTCAGCTGAGGTAAGTCTAGTTCAAGTATCCCCCCTAAATGTTGCCAAGCCTTCGTAAAACCCACTAAATTGTTGTTAGTCTCTAAATTCATGAGAAAGTATTCCGATAACGCTTAGTACTGAGCAAACAACAAATCGCTGGGTTAAGTCACATTTCATACAACTTGTGTTTAATATTCATGCCAGGTGTGGTTGTTTTCTATACTGTGGTACCAATGGTTTTCAGTGAATCAAGTAAGTGTAAAATACTACTTCTATGTCAACTTATGAGTGCTGAGTATGAAGCATCGTATCTTTCGGGTTCGTAATGTTACATAGAATAGATTTGCTGTTCTATTGTTAAAATAATCAGTTGAAGTGGACCTGTAAAGTTACTTGTAATAGATCGCAAGACTTACATATCACCTGAGCTACAGATTCTCTCCACTCACACATAACGAATACTGTGGCTTTTCGGCCAAATCCTCTTACTCTCTGTCGATTGCAGTTTTCAATCCTTAGTCGATTCGTCTAGTACAAGCAAAGCAGCTTAATGAAGTCAATAGCCATCAGAAAACTCCGTCTATACAATTTGGTTTATCGTAAAAAGATCACATTATGTCCGGAATATTTGTCTGCGGAAAAGTTTCTCCAAAATCGGTTTTAATTACTACTTCAATTAGACTGCTTTAAGTGAAGTATGGATGTTAATAGAACATTCTTTCTTCAAACTTGGCGTTCTGTAGTAACGGCTATAAAGTGGATGCGGATTGACTGTTTCTGGTTCTTATATACAACATCAACTAATTGGTTAACAAAAAACCAGAAGCAATTTAACGAATTCATGTGGCTTTTTGATAGAATCATTGATTACAATTCAAATTGCTACGTATGATCTCTTCTGTCTCATTCATCATTATTTCGATTTCCGGTTAAACCGAGTAATAATAATTATCGGGATCTAGTTCGTCTAATAACCTAAGACTTCAGTTTCACAGATTCAGTAGTTGTGAATCAACATATTTATCGGCATATTCTAAGTCGACCAACGAGTCTCCTGGTAGAAAGTCCACCCATGAAAAGTCAGACGAAGTCAATGTTATCTCTAAAAGCATGTCTATGACAAAGTTAAACAAGAATAAAGAAAGTGGACAACCCTAACAAACACCACTCGACCAGTAGTGTTTAAATTTTACCTTTATTCAAACGTCCCATCAATATAAATTCTTGACATTTTTAGGCTTATTTATTTCTAACGATGATATAATCCTTAACACAAAAAATTCGAATAACCAGTGGTAGAATGCTTACTTATTCGTGGGCGCTTCTGTATTTTTAGACAACTAGTCATCGTCAGAGAAACGAATCTTCATGTTCTGAGTTCAGTGATGTTGATGAAGATGACCTTTTGAATTATCTGATTGTCATCGTTCCTGAAAGAGCCGGTGGACGCGCTTCTGACCAGAACACTTCTAGCACGAAAGCACATGTATCAAAGCCATCTCGGACCTCTGAATCCTGGATTGATAAAGGTGATTTTGAATCTGGTCCACTTAATACTACACCATGTAGTGTTACAAGTGACAAGAGTCAAGCCGTACATAGTGGAGTTGCATCTTCCGATTATACTACCACTTCCTCCCGCTTTTTGGGTAAACACCCATCTGGTGATCGTCACCCTAATCCTGATTATCAGTCTCGGTAATTCATCTGTTGTGTTTATGTACATGTTTTATCACCCTGCTAGCGTTTTTTTGACTTCAGTCTATTTATGATGTGAAATTTCAGTATCAGATGATAGTACCTGTCCAGACGTTATTAAGATATTCATTGCAAGTTGACGATAAATGTGGTATTAATTCCAAACTATTGATTGCACGTAGTATAAAAATTCATGCTCTATAACCCTGATGAATACTATCTACATGCGTACAACCTGTCTTGAGCTTGCTTACGAACTTTAAGCAATGTTCGGTCGCTAACTCTTTGTTATGTGAGCTCCTAATTATGAAGATAGATGTATATTGGTCTAAACATCACATAAAAATTTTACTAGGTTTTATCGTTGACTAGTACACACAAAAAAGCAGCATTTTTTGTACAAATTCTAAATTAAGTATATTCGTAATTTTAGATCAAATCTTATTAATAAATAATAGTATGCAATTATTCATCACAGTTTTTATTTTCTTAGTTGTTGGTGTATAAAAATCCTAGGCAAAAATCTTTCCAATCACAAGCATAGTTAAATTGTAGCTTGCATTAGGATATAGGCCGCAAGTTTTATTTAGATTTAATACTCATCAACTGGTATTTTAAGTAATTGATACTGAGTGTTAATGTAGATATCAAAACTAGCATCTCCATATCCCTTTATGACGAGTGCCGACAAAACAAACGTCCTTTTAACCAGAATCCAAATATACTCAAGGTATACTAGGTCTATATTTAATGTTTCCCTGATTACTTGCTGAACTTAAACCACACTAAAGTAACCATATCATAGTTTTTACTGTTAGGTTATTGAGCACGTACATTAGAATGATAAATCTTCAGTTTCCAGTTTGGTGTAAATCCATTTCTTGGTCACTGAAGTGCTCATCTTTCTAACCGTCGGCTTACACGCTAGAGCCTCACTGCGCACACTTTTCTATGGGAAGCCAATTAGTATAGTCGTCTGTTGATATAACTCCGTACTTAGTTCATGAGACAGTACTCCCTACATAAAGTACTCCGTGGCGAATCAAACAGTTGATTAAGAAGTATTTTTAATATGGAGCAATATTACATCTATCAAAAAATAAATATTTAGTTTAATTAGTGAATTAATGAACATGGTTTTGTGATTTACAACTGCATGATCATTCAGTAGTAGTGGCTCGGTGATCAGTGGTGATACGAAATCAAATCCACCATGAAGCATCAGTTTCTCCAAGATTACAGGTACACTTTGCTGACATACCAAATAACATGAAACCTAGATCCAGGGTTTTGTGTCGATTGCTTCCAACTACACTATAATTTTGCTTTTTAGTTTTTTTAGCTGATGATAAATATTTCCATTTCATTGACACTCTTATCCATTTAGTGCGAAGATTCATGCAGATATACTGCAAAGAATTCGATTGGGACTCGAGGATTATGAACAAAATGTGAAGCGCGAACGTTACACCTCTATTTGCGAACTCGGTTTTGAAGATGACGTTGAAGATTCGAACGTCTCATTATTGTCTGATAAGTCATCCAGTCAATCTCTTACTCGCTTAGAAAAGGTAAGTTCATTTAGTCCGACAGAATTTACTCATCCTACTAAACCTACTTTTTACAATTTTCTGAAAATTTTCATCAGCTCCAATTATTTTGATAAGTGTACAAGTACTAGAATGACTGGTGATATCAAATTCAATGGTCAAATCCAAACCGATTCCCTAAGATGAGAAACTACTTATCAAGGACATGCTAGATTAATAGCGTAGATAGAAAAGCTGGATTTTCCACGTCATCGTACGTTTAATATGATCCATATATTAGACGGGGTATCGATATGTGACAATTTGTTAAAATAAATTATTTTTGCCTATACAAATGATAGATAATTTCATAGCGTAAACCAGTGTAGTTCATTTACTAACGTACTTGTAAGTAATTTTTTCAGTGTTTTGTACAAGATACTGAAACGTAATGGAGCTTCGCTTTGCTAGCCTGTCAAAACTTACTAGACCCGCTCCTAAATATTGCTGACATTAAATCAGTGATCATAAATGATTGCTAGTTATCGAATTGTCTTCATGTTGTGTAAATAAAGTGAACTCATTTGTTTTCGTTCATGTATTCAAAAGTTCCATGTTTTAAAGGGTTCAAGAGGTTAGTGAGTAATGTGAAAAATAATCTCACCTTTCATTTATTCACTAACTATAATATTATCTTGATACTTTGCGTATCATTATTATTTGCGATCTTGTTCTGTAGACTAGTTTTCAGTTATAACAAGATTTCAAATTATTATATTCCGTGTACAGTCATTTTTAAAGCCACATTTACACATCCACACAAATGAAACTCATTCTTTCCAGCAATGATATCCTTAAATTAAAAACGTATGGCGATGCCAGATGATCGTCCGACTATACACCTCATTCTCGACAATGTTATAATGTATATCGACGTGTTCAAAACTGCCATACTACCATTCATATGGTTGATGGCTTATGAATGACTTATTTAAATAACTGAGTATATTTTTCTTGTTCATTTATTCCAACAGATTAACCTTGTTTCACCGGAAGATTTTGTCAGTCTGAAAGAAGCTGCTGCTTCTGGTTCAACCGAGCGACCAGTCTATATTTCTCATGAAAATATTAACAGCCTAGAAGACTCACACCTAAATTCAGGTCGATTAGAAAGGACTAAAACTCAATCCGTCACAAATTCCTACCCAACATTTCCCTTCTATTTTCCTAACTCATTACCTCCCGAACCGTCTCAACTAGTTACTAGTTCCTCATGGATCCCCTCGCATCCTGTCCTACCATTTTATAACAATTCTTCCGAAGTATTAAATTATTCGTTGGACATGGCATCACTAACACCTAGTCAAGTTGAACAACAATTGGAGGCAGAAAATGCAGTGGCAGCCCTAGTTGCTGAAGTATCCAGGGCTGCTGTTGCATCTGCCTCCCAAAGTCAGAAGCCTGCGGTAACAGATAAACCTAGAGACAAGCATACCGCAAGACGTCGTATGACCGGCTTTTATCCCGCTAAAGTAGGATCTACTGGTGCTCGCAAGCGAGATGAATTAGATGTCGGATTTGCGTTTGATATTTCATCCCGACCTTCAACTAAAACCATAAAAGGTCAAACCAGCTGCGCAACTTCAAACGCTACGCTTGAAGATAGTCGAAACCGAACTCCAAAAACACTCATATCTATGACGAGGTATGCCAGTAGTTTTTACGCTACAAATAATTTATCCGATTCTAGTTTATGCTAAATCTGTGATTTGGTTTTAAAAATCACTTTTACGTAATATTTTCAGAGTATAGATTATCCTTTTAGCAGTATTCAACTGGCTTGGAAACTTTTCGTTTTTCCTCTAGTGAAATCTCAGAAAAAATTTCTTAATATTATTAATTTACGCCTCTTACCTCCGATGGAGTATATGCTGCCGAACAGTATTCTGCACCAGGAACAACGTTTCGTGAACTCGAATCGTTTGCATTAGCGGTGCAGGGTGATAAACGAATACGGGAAGAGTGAGTCGTGGAGATAAGAGAGTTATTAAGAGGTGTAGAAAAATATAATTGTGACCAATTCTGTCTCACGTGTTGTTACGGGTATGAGGGCGGTTGTCACTTCCTGGCTGCCCACACCGTGGAAGGTTGTCTCTTGAGGGACCTGAAAAGGAAGATAGATTATTGTTGGTCCTGGAGACCTGGGTGCGTGACCGCAGAGTCCAAGGGACAACTGCTTGAGGCCAGTCACGCACGGCCTTTTCATGAAAGGTTTTTTGAGTGTTAGCTCCGCTCTTAAAAGCCCTAACCGCCGGAGACGGAAATCCGTGAGGTAGGGTGAGATGTGACATTTTTAGGGTCGACATTTTCTAACCCTTCCTTGTTTGTGAGAAGACGGCATCACTGCAGATGCTGGTTGTCCGAAGGAAACACCTTACTGCTGTCACACCTCTCTGCAGTCAGCAGTACGACTTCGCCCTCAGACCTTGAGTAGCTGCTTTTAGTCTCATCGTTCTCCAATTGACCTGTCTGGCTGGCATGGTACAACCTTCAGGAACATGAGTTCCAGCCAGTATAGCTCGTTTTGGTCATCACGATAGGCAAGCCCGACCACGTCAAGGTGGCAGCTACGGTCGGGTCGTGTACATGTGTAATTAGTCATATATAATTAGTCAGTAATACATTTCTTCGCGTATAGTTAACAATCTGTCGTGTAAACCATTTGTTTTTCCTATAGTGTAACTAGTGAAAGTAATGTTACACAAAGCTAGCTCACTTTCGAAAGAGTAACCAGATCACACCTGTATCAGTTGCTTCTTTTAAACGTATAAATGTGAAAGTACTTGTATATGCGTACGTTAAAACTGGTCTTGTTTGATTCTCGATGGTTTTAGTAATCGTATATACAAACGCTTCTACTATAAAAAGCGCTAATCAATGTTAAATTATATTTACATTCCTTAAGTCCACTGACTTAAGCATTGACCTTCGAAACTACTGTGTGTCTAACAACGTTCGAACCGTATAGTGTCCTCATTCTGCTCTACAATAGACTGAGTTCGTAGGTTAGTACAAGAATATATGTTGCCGTTTAATAACATCTTGCCTTTGCAAGTGAAACGTTATACTTCAAACTGTAAAGTTCAACCTAAAATTGTCTTTTTTGTATCAGTCTGTACAGGTATAAAACATCGAGTAAAGTAAATCACATCAAACAAACTTTTTTCTTAAGTGCATCTGTTACTTGTTCCAGTCGGCTGTAGTAATGGTAGATTAAGTTTGTTGCTTTTAAGACTGCTTTCACGTAAATGGTTTTGATTTTAGATAAAATAAACAAGCACTTTACTCTTATTCATTTTACTTAACGTATGTACTTCATCTCATAGAATTTTCTACCATACTTTCTAAATTTTTCTGTCAGTGATGTTAGTACATCTGGAACTACTGTAATCATAAGTACTGCACATGCAACTGAAGATGATAATGAGTCCAACTGTACACCAAATGAACCTATAAAAACTAGCCAGTCTCAGTTTTCCGTTCATAAACAAACTCCTTATACTTTCGGAAACCATATGAGTCAATCGTATATTAGAGCTAGTGGTTTAACCTCTCGCGAATACTTCCGCTATCGTGCTGCCTGTCTGTTAGATCGTGAAAAGTCAGGCGCAGGACAGTCACAGGAAATGAACACATTGTATAGATTCTGGTCATTCTTTTTACGGGACAACTTCTTTCATGGTATGTACAAGGAATTCAAACGCTTGGCTCTCGAAGATGAAGCATCTGGTTACCGATATGGATTGGAATGCTTGTTTCGGTTTTACTCGTATGGTTTGGAGCGCCGTTTCAAATGGTCTCTATATAAGGACTTCCAGGTAAAGCTTTGGATTTTGTAATGCATTTTCTTTTGCTTATGTGCCCACTTTGAACTCTTCCTGGAAAATTGAGCTTCCCCGAATTTGTTCATACATGTAATGCGTTTCTCGGACATTTACTCTTCTTTTTCGACTTGCTAACTTGTAATTCTTCTTTACTTCATAGGAACAAACCCTAAGAGACTACAAAAATGGACATCTTTATGGGTTAGAAAAATTTTGGGCTTTTTTATATTACAGTGGACGCAAAGTAGAAGTCAATCATACACTAAAAGAATTGCTACAGAAATACAGAACCATTGAAGACTTTCGTGTCAATGTAAGACATCAAGTTTGATTTTTTTTAACTTGATATAACTCGCTTCCCCTACCATAAAATCTAAAAATTGTGATCAGTGGAATTACTTGTTTTTTATTCTATTTATTCTATTCTATTTTCAATTCTGTCCAACACTAGTTAGCTATAATTTCCATCCAATTGTTCTAACGTGTAAACATGTTTCTACCACAAAATAGCAATAGTGTAAAGAGTTTGGTCTTCTCACAAAAGTAATCAACACATTTAAGGCGTGTAAAATTGATTTTTGAAAATAAATTCATCACTGAGTTATCTTCAGTGACCTAAGCCTAACTCAGTTTTCAGACGCTAGGTTAAAATTCAGTACGTCATGGTAATTAGCGTTGTAATGCAACCGACTCTCATCATAACTATGAAAAAACACCACAGACTTCTTCATCTGGTTAGGGTTAATAAGAACTACTGTTTATCATTTTAATCAAAAAAACAAGAAAGTTTCGTGTGGCTAAGCAAATATATAAAGTTTTTCACAAATTCTCTTTTTTTTTCTTTTGTTTTTAATCACAGTTTGAAGTTCCTGATGGATTTTATGGTTATCGCAAAAGACTTCCCTCTACATCAGCTTCCGTGCCTTCAAATATTTCCTCCGATTTATCTATTCAAGCTACTTCTGTTTGAGTAATGTGTTAATTACGATATTCCTACTGCAACCGGTTGGGTGACCAATTTTCTACTAGCTAAAGATACCTTGTCCTATTTGTATTTAATTCATTCTCTTGATAAGTGTATCATTCAATATTCACCAGTAATCCTAAACAACACTGATGCGATGCAATTCACTGTCAAGACGTTTTTGAAATTTTGTTATTATCTCTGCGAGTTATGCGTGATTAATTAATAATCACACCTCGCCAATCTATTCTTATTCAGTATATTTTTCCAATATATGGCTTCCACTTTTTGAATTAGTGTTTAAATTTTTGTATACACTTTTTCGTTTACTTATGTGATAATACTACCGTACAATTTTATTCTAAAACTTATTATCTTTTTGGATACAAATAAACCCTTGTTGTGCAAAATAGCAACAGTTGCAAATTCAAATCATGCTGTTTTTTCCTTATAAAATGTCACGTAAAGTTTGACTTTTGTTAGGTGACAAATTGTTTAATTACATACCTATTGCACATTTTAACTTCCTGATGTTTTCTGACACCAGTTTTCGGATAGATTATAAGCCTCTTAAAAGCTGTTTCGATAATTGCATCACGATAGTTATTTGACATAGATCATCTGGTTATGCCAGCCTTAAAATACATGAGCACTAAGAAAAAGCAGCTTTATCTGACTCCCAAAGATTTACAGAGACTTTAGTTGTCATAATTCGACATTCAGTGAACTGATTCGATGTTTTTTTATATTTATAACTAATTTTCACGAATGCTGATTGCAACTTCGCTAATGTATTTGTAATTATGTTGCACAGACTCACTATATTGCAATACTAAGTTGACCTTATCGTCAACAGCAACGTAGAACTTTACTCATAAGTACAGCAGTTCAAGTTGCCATACCACATTAGCACAGAGATAAAATTGTCAATTCGAATCCCATAGTAGTAAAGATATTAGCAGTTATCAGAGATTAGGAATAGAAAATATTATTCAAGAAGTAGAATCTAGTGAAATAGACTTAAAAAGATAAAGTGATTAGGAATTAAGAAGTTTAGGATTTCAGAGAACACAAAGAATGAATACACCTGCGCTATAAGCAAACGGTTTTGAACCATGTCAGTCAAGGTCTCTAACCAACGATTAATACAGTCTCGCGGGACCCAACCTTGGTTCCCTCGACATGTCGGCAGGTAGCCCTGATGCTGCCGCCCTTGGACTCGCCTGCATGGGTATAGTACAAGGTCCTAGGGCAGAACAAGCCCTCTTAGACTGGATCCCGATAGACAGTCGCTTTCGCGCTGTCAAACTAAACTGGACGGTACGGACTCAGAAAGATAGGGACACGCTGTTGCCTCTTTGTCGTGTCTGCCAACGCCCATGCTGACTGCGCTTCAGACAACATAGAAGATAGGTTTTATAGAAACCTCTTAAACTTCTTCAAAAAGTTAAGCGCTCTGATGCAGTAATAATGGCTGGTGACTTTAATGGTCAAGTGCATCGACTAGGTGAAAAGGAAAAACGCCTGAGTGGGTCTTATGGTTTCGCGGCTAATCGAACAGATAATGGCGACCGTCTGCTGCGGCTATGCTCAAACACTATACTGCAAACACTAACTTTAATCATAAGAAAAAACATCTTTTGACCTAGCGACCCTCGAAGCCTACCCAACTAGATCACATCGCTATAAGCCATCGGTGGAGAGGCTCTGCTAAAGACTGCCGCTCATTCTGAAGCTCTTGTTTAGACTCAGATCATGTAGTGCGAGCGCGTATTTGATTGCGCCTTACTGGACGTAAGAATATTATCACAAGGAAACCTGTTGGGGCTCTACTTAATGATAATAAAGCTAAGAATATATTTCAGGGACAACTAGAAAAACAGTTAAGCAGCTATGAAGTAAGTGCTGCCCACCCTGGAGCAGCTTGGAATGACATCAAAAAAGCTGTGGAAACAGTAGTGATATCTGCTAGTAGGGTAAAACATAAGGCTAGGAAGAAGCCGTGGATTTCAGTGGCATTTACCGGAATGGTGGATGCTCGAAACCTCATCCCGACCGGCTCTGAACATGATGAAGAACGAAGTCAACTTAGTCGCAGGCTGATAAAAAGCCTACTCGACGACCGTGAACAGTGGTGGGTGGCGAAAGCGAGAGAGATGGAGAAGGCAGCGGCCATAGGCAACTATTCAGGCTCATCAAGGAAACGGGTATTAGGAACCCGAATGTGAGTGAAACTATCTCGTAAAAGGATGGTCTCATTACTCACTCTCAATCCAGGAGATTGAATCGATGGGCAGAACACTTTAGGGATCATTTCAACTGGCTTTCAGCCACACTTCGGTTACTCACGATCTCCAGTCATCCAAATTTCACAATTTAAAAATGTCTAGGTCTAAGGGTTAGAAATCTTGGATGATATAGTTTCTAATAGATAATATTCGCATAATATATTTTCATTCATAAACTACTTTTACTTTCAATTTTATGTAATACCACACTGACATCAGAATAGATTACTTCAAATGATGTCCGTCAGGGATGTCTACTTTCTCCATTCTTGTTTAACTTCGTCATAGATATGCTTTTAGAGATAACATCAACTTCGACAGACTTTTAAGGAGTGGACCTTTTACCAGGAGACTCGTTGGTTGACTTAGAATATGCCGATGACATAGTTCTACTTGGTGAAGTCACTGACAAAATGCACAATCTTTTGACCACCCCAAGCAATAATGCAAGCAAGTTCGGGATGTAGTTCTAACCCTCCAAATGCAAAATTTTGCTTCAGGGTTGGGTTGCGGCTGCACCTAAACTAGTGATAGGGAGTGAAGTAGTTGGGCGTGTGGACCGCTTCATTTATCTGGAGAGTCTCATCAATGCTGATGATTTAGTAACTAACGAAGTATCAGCACGGTTACAGAAGTCTGGATTGTCTCTTTCCAACTTGCGTCACTTATGGCGTAGGCGAGATATTCGTTTGCTAACTGAAGGACGAGTGTACTGCCAAGCAGAGTTGAGGATATTCGTAGGTTGTTAGTAGTCAGCTATAGATGTCTTCGAAGCATTGCTCGTGTATCCTGAAACAATGGAGTAGGCAATGCTGTTATTTGATAGCGAGTACTAGGTACGGATAGCAGGTCAATAGATAAAGTATTGAAACTTCAGACGAGGTGGTTAGGACATGTGTTGCGTATGCCAAACCACCGACAGCCTCGACAACCGATGTTTTGTGGTGTAAGAGTAAGTTGGAAGAAAGCTAGGGGCGGCCAAACCAAAACATGGCAGAAATCCATGAAGTCACTGACAAATGGACTGAGTCATGTCGGTAGATATAGACTACCTAATTGGGGTCCGCGAAACTTAAGTCACAAATGGTTAGAGACCTTGGACGACGTGGCTCAAAATTCTTTGCAATGGCGCAAGTGCATCCACTCTTTGTGTTCTCTCAAATTCTATCCTGAATTCCTCATCACTTTTATCTTTCTCCTTCTAAATTTAACTCACTGAACCATACTTCTTGAATAATATCTTCGAACCCTAATCTCCATTACTGCCAATACTTCTACAATCGCTACCACTATTAAATTTGAACTGCCAGTTGTGTCTCTGTGCAGATGTGGTATGGCAACCTGAACTGATGTAATTACGTACGAAGTTCTGTGTTACATCTGTCTGGATGTGACGTTAATTGTTTGATTAATATACCAAGAGAGCATGATGCTTCTTTGAAGGTGTTAGTTTTTATGAACGGATACTTATTGTTTGGTAGTTCTGATGTCTTTCAGTTCGTCTAAGTCTAACGTCAGGTGCTTATGGTAAATACATGTTAGCCTATCTTTCAGTATACTGACTTCCTAATATAGATGCAAGCCTGGAAAATAATTGGTTCTTTTCTATATTCAAATAATGAAGTAATATTAATTGTAATTTCAGTTCCAATTCGCAAAATGTACTGCTTCACTCGAAAGTGCATTTTGTCACAAAACTGCCGATTTATCTTTGAATTATCAATGTACCAATTTAATTAATAATGGTCTACAGGGTTAATATTTTGAATCCCTATCTAAACAACTCTGTTATATGTTATAGCCAGTCAAATCTTGAGCCACAATTCGATATATTTGGCATAACACATATTTGGCCGTTTCTGTTGAATTCATCTTATGTTAACGATATTATCGCAATGTAATTTTTGTAAAATAGTGACTAATGTTACTTACCAAAAGTAAAATGAAAAACCTGATTACTATGCCTATCATTACGAAATTATGGAAACTTGAAATATTGAAGGCATTCATGTTCTCCCATAAAGTTTTCCATGAAGCAGTAAAACGATAATAATTATTTACTTTTACCAATCAATCTGATGAAATTCTGAAAAACTAATCTACTGTTTACACTTTTGTGATCATCAACTGTCTTGAGTCCATGTGGAGTTAATACTTTGGATCACTGAGTCTCGCGGTTCTGGCCCTGCTGCACGTAGGTTTCAAACACCAATCGTATAACCAGCTCTCTCATTTAGTGTAGCTCTTATTCAGGTACCTGGAAGATGAGTCAGACTTCATTGGAATATAGATCCTAACTTCGAATCTCCTAGGCAGAAACTGGAGGCAGGCAAATAGGAATTATGGCCCATGGTATAGTTGCTTGAAAATCCGTGGTCAGTGATCACTGTCAAGGGTACCAAGCTTAATTAGGTATAGTAAGTGATTCAGGCCATCTAAAAATTCTTCAGGCTCTGCAGTTGAAAATCCAAAATTGTTATTGTCACAATAGACAAAATAAGTTTAATTGATTGATGCTGTAAAAATCACTACTAATTTTACTACAACCTAAAAATTGCTAGCAAAACAAAATACCATTGATAATCTTGAGATATGATCATGCATAAATGGTATGAAAAATTATTTGACTTAAGGTGATAAGTTCAAAACAATTTAAAACCGGATATAAAAATTCCATACAAAATAAGAATTATAACAACAATAATTATTTACTAATAACAAAAATGTGATGTAAAATGGGAAACATGGATGTGTAATTAAGGTTAAGAAAATGTCCACATTACAGTGATGGGGAAGAAGCAAAATTGGAACAAAGGATGAAATAAATCTAATGTGGACGAATGTAAAATCGATGTTTTTGATGTTAATTGTTTGAGCTTCTTTGAATTATTATAGACACTAGTTCAGCTGTTCGGAATAGGCCTAATTTCGAAACGTTTTCATAGATTATTTGTGACCTGATTTTAAACTGACAAATCATCTTCAGTTTTGATTTATGTCTATAAATAATCAGGTAGGAAAGAATAGCATAATTCATAAATTTCTCAACGCCTTTTCCTAACCTACTCGTACGTGTTCAAGAATGTTTAAGGGTAACAACCTTCGAAGATGACCCCACAGAAACAATTAATCTGATCAACGCAAACAAACCATTTGTATCTTTCTCTAACTTACTGCGTATGCATTGGCTTCGTTGAGAAAGTTAAGTGTAATTTAGTGGCATTAAAACTTGTTT